CACTTCACAATTGTTGTCTCCTTTAGAAACTTCTATATATCCTGTGACATAAGACAAATAACCTTCTACTGACTGGCTGCAAAAGCTCCTGGCTGAAGCCGGACCGAGGAGGGGTCACTGTGCGTGAAAAGGATCTCAGATTGATTGAGACGCACTGATTCTGGTATGAAAAGAGCTCAGGGCTAAAAGGCACCACGTGCAGATATGCATTACAATAGAGCGAGCATGTAGGGGAGGCAGCTTTGAATGATAGAGTACAGCACACGCAGAGACCATCTGGGTAATTCAGTAAAAGGGCTAATGTTGGGCATGAAATCCTGCATCTAGAATCAAGAAAAGGAGCTTTAATGACGACGCTTTCTTAAAGTAGATCGCGAGTCTAGAAAAGCTGCTGTAACTGAAGACCTCTGCGCTTGCAGTCTTTGGCTTGGGAACGACATGAAATGCAAATGTATCTGCCCCCTGCATGTGCACAAGCAAAAAGGAATGTCCCGCATGAACATGCATGTTACATGTTGATAGTGGGCCCGTATTCAATCTGCACTTCTAAAGATGCAAAACAAAAATCCTCTTTCCCAGTCAGAGCTGCTGTGAGCTCCCCGGGGGGGGGGGGAATTGGACAATGATTACTTGGCTTCTCTTTCTTTATAGAATTTTTTTCTTGAGAAATTTAGAGAAAAAACAAATTTAGCTCCTTACAATCATCTCTGACTATGCTGGGGGGAGAAAAATAATAAAAAAAAACAGTTACAAACATTAACCAATGCAACTGGTAGGGCCTAATATCTCTACTGTCCTGGTGAATTTTTTTAAATAAAAATACAGCGATCTGTTTTGTAAATCTGCAGATTTACAGGTGGGACTCGCTGTTGTTGCTCTAATAGGCCACTCCGTGCAGGTTGTTTCATATTAAGATAACAAAGCTAATATCAGATATTAGTCAGAGCAGGGTCACTTCAAATCCGATTTGAGCGAGCAGTGTAACTCCGCTGCCTGTCACTGATACCTGATTTGCAGAAGGACCCAGGTGGTGGTCGTCCAATTAACTGGCCGTGCAGCCTCATGATGCAGAATGAAGGGAAACTGTCAATAAAAATGCTCCTAAATCAATGTTAAGCTTTGACTTCTCTCAGCCAGATGGGGCTCGTGGTGCCGCCCCCCCTCCACATAATTTATCTATTCTGCATTTTTATGTTACATTATCGCTGCAAAGCCTGCTGCTGGCCATTGTTTAAAAAAATGCAATAAAAAAGAACTGATTAGGTAGTTGCAAAACCTCAGGTGCTAAAAAATAAGACATTTTAAAACTGCATTTACATACGTTTACTAAACGCAATGCATGAGGTAAAAGGTGGCTACAGTAAAGCTACACAGATTACAACATAATATTAACTTGACTCACTCCACCTTCCGCACCGTTCATACGCAGTTTAAAGTGATGACTGGTGGTGATTTTATCAATCTAAACATTTAGTTTGTAGCTTTTGATTGGACAAAAGCAGCTTCTCATTTTTAGCCAGCGACATTTAATTTTGTCGGCTGTAGCTCGCTAGGTTGATTAAGCTAACGTTAGCACCATGAGTTGATTTAAACTGTTTCTTCTGTTTCCGGCTAATTCAATTTAAAATCTTGTTAAAAACTGTCTTAGATATGCACTCGATGGCAACATAAATTAAATTGTGCTAAAAGACTGAAGCTAATGATCCATAGAACACATAATAATAATAACATATTATTCTTGTATTGCAGAGTAGAGCTAGCTTAATTATAAGTATTGTAAGGAAAATGTTTGTATAGGTTTTCATTAAAAACTTTACAAGAAAAAAAAACACGTTTTAGGTTGAGGACTAAAAGATGAGTTTGGCAAACGTAATGCTGTCTATCATAGGTCATGTTGGCTAGTGGAGGGTAAACTTCCCTAAATCTAGTAAAGAGCAGGACTGCTCACGTTAGCCTAAACTCTGAAAGCATTTGAGTTACACACTCTTAATAAAATGTGATGGGTGGGCTTTAACAAAAGAAGAAAACTACCCCACAAGATAACGTAGACCTAGTGAATAATGTGCTTATTGGAAGTAAAGCAGGGTTAAGTATGTATGAAGCTACTTAGCCGGACATGCTAATAAGCATTAACAGCTAACAGATAAACACGCGCGCTTTTGTTTTTCTGTTCCCCTCACAATTAATGTAACACTTTACTTTGGCTCACTACTCGAGTTTAAAGCATCTTTTGTGCAGAAATGAATCAGTGTCATGTTCCATGTCTACCATCAAACATTTTAAATGCACACACACACAAACACACACAGGGGTGTGCGCTACCGGGAACTCAAATTTTTGTTCTACAAGATCTGTTGTTGCCATGGCACTGCACTGCATCTCCTTGGATCGCCATGGAAACACAAAAAACTGATGACTGGCGTGGGGCTCGAAGTGAAGTGAGGTCAAGAGCACCCAGTTGAACCAAATTCACGTGCTCATCTGACCCAGGCCAGGATCAATGAAGCAAACCACCAAACAAAATATTTTTCATAAAATGTCATTTATTTGTCTTTTTTATCCACTTCAAATTACTTTAAAAGACTTCTGTGGACAGTTTTCCTCCATTGTTTACATGCATCTCTGCAAACTGAGCTCTAATGCAGCGATCTAATGCATTCACTTGACAAAAAGTTGACAAATATTCTCCAAAAACTATAAGTTTGTGTGGAAATATACGAATGTAATAGAGAGATGAGATATGAAGTATAGAAACGAAAACCCTTAAATCAGCAAACATTCAGTCTCAAGTATCTCATTTACTGGATGAGATCAATATTTGCGGGTCACTGGCTGAACGTGACTGAATGCACCTCAATTGTTTCGGGTCATTAACTTACTTTATGAACAGCTTCCACTCCCTAAGTGGGGATTTAAACCCCCACCTCTGTTGTATGACAAGTTCAATACACCTCAGTGTGGTCATTATTCAGTTCTTACCTATTTGTCCCCTGTGTGCATTGTTATAACTATTGTTTGGTAAGGTAGACCCTCACTGGGCCTCCTAGAATTGCAGTTTAAAATGTTTGATTGTGGTATCAGTGTGTTAGTTTGATAGAAATGTGTCTCCATCTTGTGGTAGCATTTATTACATTTAGCACTCTGTGGGTTGGTTGAGAGCTATGTTTTAGTAACAAACATTCACAGCAGTGAGACCACATTCAAACATCCTCAAATGTGTCTAATACTGTGTCACAGACATTTATGCTGTTTTCAGATTTGCATTAATATGACAGGATGTGTGCATTAAGAGATAAAAAATAGTATTTCCATCCCACAGTGCAGTAACATCACCACCATGAGGCCGAATAAATAACCGACTAAAGGCTGGTGCTGACATCTAGAGGTTGGAAGAGTTAATGCATCTGTTGGCGTGTGAAATGTGTTCATCACGAGGAGAAAGAGCGAGAGAACCATTTACTACAGCATAAAACAAACAATAAACGATAATGCAGGTGTACTATCTTTTTTTTTGTAAAAAAGTACAATATTTACCTCTGAAATGAAGTAGAGTAGAACTATAAAGTACCATACAATGGTAATACTTAAGTAATGTACAAGTACAGTACCTCAACATTGTTCTTGTACGTGCAGTAAATATTTGTAGTTACATTAAATGGTTTGATATCATGAAGTACTGAAAGCCAGTACACTATAGACAACACGTAGATGTCTATTAACATACTCCATTGCATGTCTTTGTATAAACTTGTGATGAGAAAGGAGCGAGGAAGCAGGAGGATCTGCCCTGCACAAATGACCTAAAAAACAATTAAATAAATCAGCTGATTCATAATTTTAAATTTGTTTAAATAGTGTTTAAAGTGCAACATTTGTTTCGGCAAAAACTTGTGTGACCACTTGTTGTTGATGCACATAGAAATACATATTTATAAAACCTAAATCATATCTTCACACATTATCCACTGGTCTGTAAAGCAGGGACTCGTGGGTAGGCCTACTCATGATGGGCTATACATTGTGTTATGAAACCCAGACAAAACGCGCGGTGTGGGCCACATTTTAGGATGTTACGAGCAGCACGTGAAGGCAGCATGCGATCCTCTTGTCGCTACTGCCCTCCTCGGGTCCTGCTCTCGTCCCCCGAGTGTCTGACTGCCGGTGGGGTGTGTCTGCTGGAGATAGTGGTGGAGAGACGGCTGCATCAAGTGAGCAGCAAACAGACAGAGTAACACCGGAAGTTGCATGGTTTCATCTTCAGAATAAAAGCACTGCAATGCCTGCTACTGTCTTTTTTTAAAAAAATATGTGGACTCCCGAGCATTACATAAATATGAATGAGCTTTAATCTGCAGCTCTAACAGTGTCTACTCTTCTGGTTTCAGGCTTTCCATAACATGTTGAACCTGGATTTAGCTACATGAACTTAGATGCATTTAGTTCATCTCAAAGGTGTTGTTTGGGGTTAATGTCAGGGCTCTGTGGAGGAGAGTAAAATAATTTGATACCTCCAACAGAGCAGCTTCAATCTGAATCAATAATCTGTCCTCTTCCTCTGCAGCCATCTCCGGTGGAGTACCACAAGGTTTCATATTAGGCCTTTTTATATTTTCCTCATACTGTATACACACACACACGTATATATATATATATATATATATATATATATATATATATATATGTGTGTGTGTGTTAACTATAGCTACAAATATACAATATTTAGAGGGATGTAGTGGATATAAATAGCCAATTAAGTTGCATAAAATGGAAATTGAGCTCAGGCCTACTTGAGTAAATGTAGGCTACTTATTCCACCACTTACCACAAATGGTATGCAACATTATTTATTCTCACACTTTAATTAATGCATCAATTCTCTCTTTAGAGCACTCGGATCAAAATGTATTGATTTAACTGATCTGTCGATTTTTACTCTGAAATGTTTTGACCGGAAGTACACGTTGAAACCCCCTCATACTTGACGTTGATGGTGGAGAAGCAGTAAAAAAAACAAAAGAAAACGCTCCCGCCTCACCACCAGACACCTTGTAAGGCAGCCCAGACAAGAAGACAGCGCGCGCACGACCTCACGTGCAAAGGTAAAAAAAAATAAAAAATGCAGCTGAACAACCGGACGAGGCTCACGCGTCTGGAGCTGGTTGTTATCCAACATTAGTTTAGGGAAGAACAAAAGAAGAAGAAGAAGAGTCATGAAGAAACACCCGAGTCCTACAAAACAGCAGCAGCAGCAGCAGCATCAACCTCCGGTAACGGCTGCTTGTACCGAGGTTACCGTCCAACAACTCAACGAGCTCCTGTCTAACGGCAGCGGCTTCTACAGCCTACCGACGCAACACTTCAACGAGGTCTTCCCCCGGATATACATCGGTAACGCGTGAGTCATTCACCCTTTCACCGTGACTTATTAGCGCGGACAGGTAAGGCAGGTTTTTAAAGATGCTCGCGCCCCATCCACCGACACACCAGACTCGACAATGACAACAATGTCGCATGCCCGGTTTAAAGCACGCACACATCAGGGCGGGCTTGTTATTTTTTATTTATTTGTTTGGTGTCTCCACTATCATCATCATCATCATCATCATTATCATCATCATGGAGGGAAGCGACCGCCTGTTGTCAACAAATTGTGTTATCCTCCAAATATCAGCAGCGGCAGACAGGTACACTGTGTAACAATGTAACAATGTAACGTATAATAATGGTCTGATTGTCATATTTTGAAATGCATTATCCTGTTTGCACGGACGGACACAGACTCCCCGTTTCTTACTCAATGAATCCATCACTAGTGGGCTCTGCCTGTAATCACGTCCCCATCGAGCCGCTCCCCATCCCCTCCAGCTGGGCTGCAACAACAATCACCACATCAACAAATATATAAGCGGGTTTCTTTTATTTTCATTCATAAACTGCTCAAGAAAGAAAACCCACAGGCGGTCTCGTGGGTTCCTGCAGAACAACGCACGTGAATGTTGTAGTCGTGAGTGAAGTGTCAGACACCTGTATGACATAAATAACATCATAAATCAAGTTTTTAGAGAAATAAAACAATAACTTGTGTCAAGATAACAAACCTGATGTAACCTGACTATAATATCTTAATGCAAGCATCAGACATTCTGCTTTATTCTAGAGAATTGTTGATGAATCAATAAGTCTATTATTAACAGGAAACTACTCTGCAGTTTTTTAAATCATTTTTAGTTATTGTTAAAATGTCATAGTACATTCTTTAGCTTCTCAGTTGGGAGTCCTTTCTGCTTATTTTCTCGTCTTATGTGATAATAAAACTGCATGTTTTTGGGGTTTTGACTCATGGCCGGACAAAAACAAACCAGACATAGATATCAGCCTCTGCTCTTGTGACGTTTTTGTAGACCAAATAACTAATCAAGAAAATAATCTGCAGATTAATTGATACTTTAAAGTCATTTGTAGTTATTGTTTTTTGTATAATCAATGAATTGTTGCTACTTCCTTAAATTCAAGCTTAGTTATCTGTCACGTTGTATTGATATTTGGTCTACAAACATTAGGAAATGAAAAATGGCGAGAAAATGGCGTAATTAAATGTCTTGTTTTGTCCGATTTCTGCTAATCGACTAATCAACTAATTATTGCAGCTCTGCATCCGATAGTGATGTACAATCTGGTGATTCATTTTTTTACATTTTAGATAAGAATATCCTAAATTTGGAAGATTTTCTGTGGCAAATAATTATTTTCATTATTGTTGATTTATTTTTGATAAACCAATGACTCTTTATCATCATTAAAATGTCAGAAAATAGTGAAAAATAATAATTGAATGTCCTAAAGCCCAAAGTGATGCCCTTTAAACATCCCAAAACCCAACAATATTCAGTTTACTGACATAAGACAAAAACAAAAAATAGTATCTAATCTCATTATTAGACATCTAAATAGCTGCTGTGTAATTTAATTCCAGCGCCGTCACATGTATCAAGCAGTGAAAGGAGCTGAGCACACAAACTCATGCATACAAACACATGCATATACTGTATATGTATATTAAACATGGCAGAGGGCGGACTATAAATCTACAGTTGTTGGCTGACTGCATGCTATCGGCTTTGTAATGAACATGCCAACTCTTCAGGGATTTACAGCTCGGTGTTCCAGTAAAACCAGTTTCTGGTACTTCATGTGAGGTGTATTATGTGCAAGTATAAGTACACAACATTCCTTTGGTTCTTACGGTCAGTACACTGTAAGTAGAAGCAGATATTCAGATCACGTCAGGTGCAACCTATGTGTTCTAATCATGGACTGTATGTAAGAAGTGTAAAAGAAAGCATCCCCTGCTTTATGGTTTGTGTGACTCTAAATGGACCATAATGTACTAAATGAACATCATGCTGTATTGAAGAAGACTTGAAACTAGAGATTGAGACCATAAACTCATGTTTACAATGTTTACTGAGGTAATAAATCAAGAGAGAAGTAGAGTCATTTTCTCATAGACTTCTATACAACCAGAGGAGTCGCCCCCTGATGGACACTAGAGAGAATGCAAGTTAAAGACACTTGGTACTGACATTGATATTTAAAATATAAAGAAATCAGACTACTTCTGCAACTGAGGATTATTTTATTACATGAAGAAATATTATGTTTCGATATGCAACTGAGACATTATCTAATGCTAAATTTAGGAGCAATCTACAGACACAAATAGACAAAGTAGTAAAATAAAAATCCAGATGTGTGTTTTGGATGTTTTCCCTCCACTCCACTAGTTAAAAAGAAGATATACAATGGAAGCAAAGTAGCCCAAAATCTCAAAATTGACCATGAAAAATGAAGGTACTGAAAAAAAAAGTCACTTGTGGTCTTTGTACCCATAACTCAGATATCTTATTGGCACAGGTATTAAACATGCATGCACGTCATGTCTTTGCACTTTTAGGCAATATTTGGTAAAAGACACCCCATTATATAGTACATTAGCATCTTCTGCAACCTAAAACTAAAATCTCGAATATCAGAAATCATTTCAGGTTTCAAGTGTCAAATTTGTCGGAAAAGCCATTTGAGATAAAGAAGTTACAGGAAACATAATTTTCAAATACAATTTGCTGTTCGGTAATAAAAGCTTTTACGGAGCAGCTTTCAATCTCTTTTATGGATTCACGGTAGACAACGGATTCAGGGATGCCCCTGAGGAACGTAGTGTCTCTGTGTGCAGGCCCATCATCTGGCTCCCGTCACTGCCAAGAGAGGAATACAAGCACATTACTGTACCTCGGCACTACAACAAAATCAATCTGAATATGCCAATCTGTCCCGAGCCAAGTCTCCAAACAAAGTGCTGGCAGTCGTGTGCTGAGCTGAAGCTGATCTGAGCTTTACGGTTCCTTTTGAAGAAGAGATTTTGATTTCTGATGAAGAAATTGAGTTATTTTGTAATCATTTGTCTTTACTTTCTCTTGTACAGTATGGTGGAGGTAATTAGTAAAGTATTTTATCATTAAAGTGCATCACAGGCAGTCCAAACAAGTCGAAAAGGGCAGCGTAATGTAATGTGATATTGAAAATGGCTCACGCAGGGCGAGGTGGTATTGATTGTTGATGAAAGCCTGAACCTTGTCGACTATTTCCACCACTGGGACCCACGAAGCCTTTCTGCTGATGCATCCTGTATATTGGTCCTGTTACAATTTAATAAGTGTAGCTGGCCAACATCAAAACAAACGCACCGATTAACACATTTATATATAATGTATATACAAGCATGTGGCTTATTCGATCACAGTTGACAGAAAAAAAATTGCTTTGTATTTGAAAATATTCATTAACGTCTCCTACCATGGGATCCCCGTAGGGACTTGGGCCCATGACCTATTTTAGGCTACGATCTATACTTTAAAGCAACAACCAGGACACAATTTAATGTAGGATTGTTCCCCTGGCACTCATGGATATACATTATAGTTCAGTTTATAAAAGATCATCAGAATTTAATCTCATAGTTAGCTAGCGTCAGCTAACAATGTTACTGGGCTAATACAATGTCTAGGAGCTGCGTCGCACAGAGTAAATTAACTTCAATGTCTATGTAACATTACTTTTGACAATGATGTCTAGGATTTTGGGAAGAATCTGAGCAGTTCTCAGCTGCCTAACGTTAGCGTAACATGAAACAAGTACCTGTTGTTTCAATGCAGGGCTGTTTTAGGTCTGAATATAATATATCAATAACAAAATCTCAATCAGCGTCATTCTCAAACCTTTCAGTTGTCCTTTATGGAAGCATCTTTATTTGTCAGGATTTTGTATTGCAATCTAAAATGACATGTTTGGATTTTATCCATATCACCCACTGCATATATTCTCCTTAAAGAGAATAGGAACTAAGCAATAAATCATCCCGAAGAGATGGATAGAAAACAGAAATCTGGGAAACAATAAAACTCCAACAATACAATTTAAAGTTCTAAAAATGCTGATCTGTGAGCATGTTTCCTGAACTAGTCGGTAAAATGTTCCCAAACCCCTTAAATGGATTAAGAGTGTGTTTTCCAGAACTCAAACCCCTTACACTGTTTTCAGATCTGTCGTAGTCAGCACAATGAAACCACCGTGAGCAGCTCAGGGACACACTTAAGGTGTGGTTTGTTTGCTTTGAGGAACACTTTGGCTCTTTGTGAAGCCGGTCTTTAATAATGGATGTTGTGGGACTGCAGATCCCAGGGTGGAGGAGGCTGGGACAGGGCAGGTAAATAGGAAACAAAGCCACTGGCTGTGAACCAGAGTGTGCCTCTGCATTGTACAAGTACAGTAAGTATGAACAGTGCTGCTTCAGTCACTTCTCCTTCCACACTTACAGATGCACATGTTGCATTGTAAGTGCTTTAGCTTCAAACGTAAGCGTTTACTTCATCGTGGACGCACAAAGGTCTAAACGTAAACAGACATATTCTGAATAAAAGAGCGGAATAATATGAATTAAGAGTCTCTGCCCTGCAGCTGACACACAAACAGATGGGCTGCTTCATCCCTCCTCCAATAACCGTAAAGCAAAATGGTGGCAGAGGATTTTTTTTTCATTAGTTCTTGCAGAGGAGGCTTTGAAGCCACCGCCTCTAGGGAGCTGTCCAGGGTCACCTAGCCTCACCCCACCAGCCTCATATTGACTGTAAGTAGTCACAGCAATAAAAGGCACACAGCGCTGACAGGGTGAGCATGTTACAAGAAGATGTATCGTTCTTTAGTCTGGATAAAAGAAAAGCAAGTTTTAGCTTTTGGAGTTGTTCCGATACCAGTATCAGAAATGCCTCTAATACGGTTGGATCGGAAAAATAAGTCTAATTGTATAGAAGTCTATGAGAAACTGACTACCTTGTGATTGACAGGTCGCTACCTTGTTGTCCGGTCTTGTCCGTGTTTTTGTCTACAACTTTAACCCCTTTCACGGTGTGTTTTCACTTCATGAAAGTTAATTGTAACATTTTGGCCACCAAGAAATGTCTCATTCAGGTTGTACCTAGCTCCATCCTCTAGTGTTACTTCTGGTTGCAAAAAAACAAGATGGCGACGGACAAAAAGCAGAACCCGAGGCTTCATTTCTTATGTACAGTCCATGGGTTAAACGCTCTCGTTTGTCGAATGGCAAATGTTAAAATCAGCAGGAGGAGAGCTAGTTTACATTAGCTGTTAGAAGCACAGTCCTGCTTGGCTAAATAACGGAACCAACAGCTAACGTTAACGGATGTTGCATTGTGTTGTATTATGATGGATTCAAGCAGTTGCTTGAAAGAGATGTTTTCACATCAGTATAAAGAAACCTACTGCTATTGGATTGACTGGTACATAAGTTCAGAAGTCTTTCAGAAAGGAAAAAAATGGTATAGAACACTTTTTTGCTTGTATCAAAACTTAAACAGGTTATTGTGCATCTTTTATGCAAGAACTCATCTCTCTGAAACAGTGAAAGAGACACTGGAGAAAAGAAGACACAAGCGTCAACGGCTCGTACCGTAAACTCACGTTTCTTCTGTTCTCTGTTAGCTGTAGAGCAACAGTATGGTGGAGCTTTATTTGCTGTTTAAACGTAAATTCAGCACAGCTAATTAGTGCCACTAAATGTTCTTTAAACCTCTAATACAACATATACAAAAGAGCCATTTTATTCAGAATCAATGGGCAGTGCCTCCGGCCAGGTTGGATCGTAACAGTGGACACGGGTGTCCAACCCTGAATTGCTTTGTTATGGTTTGTTTGCGCTGTATAGGCCCAATATGCAGTATTGCTCCTTACAAAGTTCAGCAGAGCAGGAGGGGAGCAGATTTATTGTTTCATGGATGTTTAGTGAAGCTCTTTAACTATTTATTTCTATCTCAAGTCCTGCTTGAAAATGGTTGTCATATTTTTTCCTCTCCTTTGTAATCACTCTATCACTTTCTTTCTCTTTCTCCTGCGTAGCCATTGTTCAGTGTGTGCATCTATTCTCGTAATTGTAGCTTTTTAAATGTCTCTATATCTTCTGGGTTTTGGACTTTTGTTTTGTCAAACATTTAAATGTTCTCCTGCATTTACATTTGCAAGAGACCTGACCCATGTGTCCCTTTTATAGAGCTTTTTCGAGGGGAAAAGAGCAGGTGAACACAATCAGAGTAATTAGCTCTGCAGAGGTCTAATCAACCTGAATAAATGAAAACACCTGTGTGGCCCATTAAGACGTCACCTTTGGCTGTGGGGGCTTGTAAAGGACAATCACTTTTTATCACATTTTCTAGATTAAATCATGAACTAAATCACTTACAAATTAATTAGTTGTACTCCTAAGTTTTGGATAACGCAGAGACACTTTCGAGTTCTGTTTTAAAGCAGCAACATGCAGAACTTTTACGGCTCCCAGCAGCAGATATACGGTATTTGGCCGTATATCAAGCTGTGACGCTGCCAGCACTGTGTTCACTATAACGCATGCAGAGTGGTCGTGAAAGATACGGCCCACATTGTCAAAATATCACTTTGACATGAATTGTGCTGACACGCTCCTTTGCTGTATCTGTCGGGTGTTATTATTAGTTGTGTTATTTGTCTTAGATGTCTTGTTCTGCTGCTGTACACTCATCATTTTGTGTTGTGAGATAACACAAAAAAAAGTTTTAAATCAAAATCAAGAGGCACTCTATAAGTTTTTACCGGTACTTTGTGTCAGTGCAGCAGGCTTGTCACAGACATCAGCAACCTGCTTAAAGTGATTAAATTAATGTATTTTTTCCACTCTGATCCTGAATTCCCAGGTTCGTAGCTCAGAATGCAATGCGTCTGCAGAAACTGGGAGTGACGCACGTCCTCAACGTGGCGGAGGGCACCTCCTTCATGCACGTCAACACCAGTGTGGAGTTCTACACCGGCACGGGCATCACGTACCACGGCATCCAGGCCAACGACACGGAGCGGTTCATCCTCAGTGCCTTCTTTGAGGAGGGGGCTGATTTTATTGACAAGGCGCTGGCACACAATAACGGCAAAGGTGGGTTCACTTTGAGCTGTGGAGATTTGCACTCTTATTTGGTTTTGCCCTTTTCTTGTTTAGGGGAGCCTGATTCGCCAGTTAATTGGGCTAAATGCTAAAAATGGATACAATCAATATTTTTATATTGAAAACGGATCACTACTTGTGTGCGAAAGTTGTCACTCATAATAATGACCCCAAGGAGAATTCAACCCCACGGAGCATTTTAGCGTCTTTCAGCTATTTTTTGTTTTGGTTCACTCTCACCGCTCTCTTAACATCGATTTCAGCTGTAAAAAAGCTGTTAAAAACACTTTTTCAGCACCAACCGGCAGACAAAAACCAATTTGACTCTGAATATATGTTAAATAAAATCAACAGGGTTTTGGACAATTACTATAATTTATTAACAAACTACATATTCAACTAATATTCTCTCCTCAATGACTCAAGACTCCATTTTAATTTTAACTAACCAAAACCAAATAAAACTTTCCATCCACTGTTCCAACAATTACCAACTCTGGGTTGAGAGTTTGAAAGAGAGACCGAATAAGTAACAGATAAAATAAGATGTAACCACCGTAACATTTTAACTTTTTACCGACGCTGTTTTCCAATGCGTTCGTGACGTCAAACGTGACACACGATCTATCGCCTGTTTTTCGTTTTCCTGTCCATATCTGCACTAATTTAAATTGGAAGCAGCTGGTTTAAGTTAGCGACTAGTGGGTGAACATAGCGGAGCATTTAAAGTTAGCGGCTCAAGAGACATATATTCTTTTTAAGAGTTAGCGGAGATGAAAAACAAAGCTAACAGGGGACCGAAATTATTAAAAAGGAAATGTTCTAATGAAGCAGAATGTTTTGTGAATCTTCACTCTGACAGTATCACTGGTTAACTCCACTGTTGGAAAGTAGACTAATGATGATAAAATCACTTATCAGTACGTGCAAAATGCAAAAAACGTTACTTTTAAAAGCAACTTGTTACATTGCAACGTTACTGCCATTAAAAAGTAACTTGTTTTGTGACATTGTTACATGCTGAGGAAAATTTAAATCTGAAGAGTATTTTTGACAAACATTACGCATGTGGTAACAGAGTTTGTGCCTCAACAAAAGGAGATCAAAGAGGAACACTGTGTCTCCCACTTGAAAGTAATTTCTCTCCACAAGTTGAGACCAAAAAAAAGCTCCTCTTGCTGCTCTTCTAACAAAGGATACAAGATTCAAGGCGTCTTTTAATGCTTCACCCTAAATACGATCGTGAAGCGAACACAGGACGAGATAATCATGACGCCCAAAGCGTCCGAGGCTAAATCTGCACACTCCTGAGCCCTGCTCCACATTCCTTCATCAGATCATGTCGAAATGCTCCATGCGTAACTCACCTGTGGCACCAAATACGCCTCATTGTGTTTGACAACAGCTCTGTTAAACAGGAGCTATAACCCTGGGGAGCAGAATACAACAATGAAACGATGTTGGTCTTAAACTAGCCATCAGAGGTCGGGTGTACTGTGTTTTAAACATGTCACATGTGTTGTGTAGCATATTGGAAAACAATATACGTGGAATCAATCAATCCCAGGAGGCCTCCACCCTCCCCCCACCAAAAAACGACCTTTCCCCAGCTCTCCCAAAGCTGCAGCAAAATTTACTTAATTTGTCACCGCACGTGAGGGATGTGTTTAATTGTGGTGCTGAACATTGTGTTTTATTGTCAGCATTGGCACAGAAAAGCATCTTAATCCAGAGGCACTTTGGGGGAGAAGTGCACCACCAACGCCGCTGTGGTAAATCAGGAGTGAAGAGCGACCGTAACAAGGACTGTGATGGAGGAGGAGGAGGATAATGCTGCGCCTCGTATTGCTGTAGTTTGACCTTCAGTGCTATTGGGCAACATTATCTTTGACATTCTCCCCCCCCCCCCCTCGCAGCAAGCTCTGGAAAAAGTCAAAGGTCCTTTCAAAGGATTTTAATGAGGAGCTGCAGCGATGTTGCTGTGTGTCGAGTGTTTACAAGCTCACACTTTATAAATCCACCATGCAGGCGTGTGAGGAAAAGGTTTTCTTCAATTTCTTTCTTTCTTTCTTTCTTTCTTTCTTTCTGTTGAGGTAAATATTCTAAACTACTTAATTCTGGTACATTTTTTGTGAATTTGAGTTCCCTCTGGTTAACAGTTACGCAGTGTGTATGTCTCGGGCTTTTATTGTGAAAGGTAAGACCAGAAGAAGTAGATCTGGTCTGCGCCGCCTTTGTCAACGTTAAAAGGAGTAATTCCTTTATTCACGGTGCAGAAGCTCAGAAAAACAGCTTCAATCGAAGTTTGCATGCGAAATACTTCCGCACACTGCTTCTCTGATGCTTCCATGTCGTGATTTTCCAATCAGCATGCTTGCTCGTGTCCTCTACGATTTAATTGTGAGCTAAGTTTTATGTCATTAGATCACGTACAAAGGTGAAGCTGATAGTGATTTTTAAAGACCGTCTGTTGTGCTTCTAGACTTTCTTTTTTGAATTAGTAGAGATGATTACACTTTGAACATCACATTTGTCTTCTTGTTTCAAATAAGAAGTGACAGCCCTGTTAGTGAGTGAGCGATGGAGCGAGCAAACGAGTGAAGTCGTGAGCCAGAGAGGATACAGTAGAATCAACACTGATCCGTGACAGGCCGGGTGATTAGGTATTGAAGAGGTTGTTTCATTGGCAGAGGACTTCTTCTTCTGGACGGAGATTATACTACAGAGGAGAGGTGTTGGGTTTCAAAGGAAGGTGCAGACTCTGCAGATCTGACCGGAGCCCGGCACATCAACTGCTCTGTGAGGCTTGCCAAGTCCGATTCCTCGTGGGGTTTTTGGGGCTTGTCGGTAATGAAAGTCAGACGGAGATGCGTCTTAGACGGCAAACACAAACAAGGAGTCCTTCACGCACAACAGATGAGCGCACAGACGTTAAAATACCAACGTAGTACAGAGAACATGTATTCTGTGCAGACGCTCACAGACTCTTTAGGGGTCAGGTCTCGTACTTGCATCTCCTGGCACAGAAGATGCTTCGCTAGGCAACTTTGACGGCAGCATATGTTTTCTCAACCACTCTTAATTCTTTTTTGTTCATTTGTTTCTTCCCTAATTTTTCTTCCTCCTTTGAGACTTGAGAGTAAACACCCTCCATGAAGCACAAATCCTCTCTGGTGTTTTTCCCCCTTGAAACTTGTCTGTCTTGTTCTTTAAAGACACGGTGAAATCAAACAAACATTAACCGAGCAGAGAGGGGAAGCTCGCCATATCCTTCTAAAATGTCTTACGATGAGACCACATATCCAGTAGCACTAATCTTATCGTTCTCTTCTCTGGTTGCATCCTCCAGGGAAAGTGTACGTACACTGCAGAGAAGGCTACAGCCGCTCCCCCACCATGGTCGTCGCTTACCTCATGCTGCGCCACAAAATGGATGCCCGTCTGGCGGTGGCCACCGTGAGGCACAAGAGAGAAATCGGCCCCAACGACGGCTTCCTTCGCCAACTGTGCCAACTGAACGAAAAGCTGGCGAAGGAGGGCAAGCTGAACGGGGGGGAGGTGGGCAAACTAAAGACCAAATGAGAGCGAGCCTCTCTCAGGCTTTTCAGCTGCTCTCGGAGACTGACCCCACCCTGACCAAACCAGCACCCATGTGACACAAACATACATGCATTTATCTAATAATTAATAATAATAATTAATAGGTAATTAATCCGTCATGCACACACACATGCCGTTTTTCATCTTCAGTTCTCGTCTGTCACTGCTGCTCTGTAAGGGGACCTCAGTCAGTCCTCCTCCTGCTCCTATGAAGAGTGCGATCTCAAATACAGTCTTCTCTAGACTCCACACCACACAGATGTGCAGACGTACCTTAAAGCATTCCTTCAATATTCCCCCAGATGGTGAGAACCTCACCCTGATTTTTAAAGATTTCCTTAAATAGAAAGATTATAGCACAACCATTGCATAGTTTTCCACTGCCGGGAATGTCAGCGAGTACTCTATAGATTCCAAATGAACTCTTCAAATTGTTTAGATGGATGGCCAAACGCGATGCAGCAAAACAAGCCAATATGTGAATGGATGGAGGAAAATCCCAAACATTCCATGAAAAGTGAAAAACAAAAGCCCCTCGGAGTTTTGTTTTCCCTCTCAATCCTTAAAAAATAAATCCCTTCTATCATTTAGGGCCAGATATTTAATGCACAAACGATTCACACTCCAATGCACACACTGCGGAGCATTTCTGTCGGCATCCTCCACCGTATACGGCCTCTAGTTTCACAGCGGTAGCATCACATCCCTCGGCTGGCAGCAGCGACAGCAAAGGTCGAGCTAATTAAAAATAACGAGCCGCTGCGTGGGGTTGTTCGCGTAGCCGCCATGTTATGTGACGTTATTTTAGTTTGTCATTGAGCTCAGTCAGCTTACACACAGGACAGATCACATTTAGGCAACTGAATATCCTCTTGAAAAGAAGCTTCAAATGAGCTAATTGACAGTATTTCATCTCTAAAGTGGCTTATTGACAAACTCGATTTTCTCCTGCATTAGAAATAATAAGAGGAGAGTTATTGTAACTTTCTGTAAAGCGGGACTGCGTGACAAAATGTCATGTTACTCAACAACTTCTGTTATCTGGATGCAAAGAAGAGGTTTAGTCCTGATGATTACACTCACACAATCTGCTGGTTTAGTTTGTGTTTAATATTAAACTAACAGATCAAATATAATCCTATTTTAAATCAGCCCAGCTGTCTACACAGGCCACGCTCTACTCAAGTGTATTTTTTACGTTCATAGTTTTATACGTGTACCTACAGTGGTTGTGTTTCAGGCTCTGAACGCTGCCAAAACGCAGATGACCTACGATCATTACTGTACTTGAACGCATCCTGTGTAGACGGCCTTTGTTGCCTTTTAACTTAAAGGACGTCCACCACGCTAAACCAGCTGATTATAAAAATGCTGTTTAAGCACGTTTTGAGAGGATCTCCGCTCACACTAAAAGACCTAAACAACAGGGACACTGCTGAATCTCTTTTTCCTCTATTTTGGTTGACAAAACTCTGTTTTAATGAAGCCACGGTTCATTGGCATATTTTATTAGTTTTAGTTGTCAGAAACTGAATGAGCATAAAGTTGAGATTTGATGGTGACTCCTAAATGCTACCCATTGAGGTGAACAGTATTTCCTGCGCTGCTGCACTGAGATGTCCGACAAAATGAAAAAACTCACCAACTCGCTGGTCAGGCTCAAGCTCATTTTTTTCGAGTCAGAAAAACTCGAAATTTGTGTGAACAAAACCCTAAAATACGAAGAAAATGTTGACATTTAGCCGGCTTAGTGTGGACGTACAACCCGGTCGCCAGAATCAATGTCAGCATTGTACGTTGCTGAAACAACGGATACTTTGAATGTCGACTTTTCTAAACCAAAAATCATATCGGTGAAAGTCCTGTTTGTTTTAACATCCACCACCACTACCAACCGCCCTCAGTGGACGTTCTCGCTCGTTATAAAACTGTCGCTCGTTGTACTACATCACGAAATTGAACGTATCCGTGGTTTTTCAGAAACGTACAATGCCAGCTTTTTTTTCCGTGGCGACGTTGCTATATTTTCTTAAAATATCCATAAACACGCCCACATTACCAACACCACACCAAAATGTCCAGTAGCTTTGGGGTGTTAAAAGCTGATTTCACCCGTATACCGCCTTCAAACTAGAGGCCTTTAGTTTTTAACTGTCAGACGCGTCACCAGGGGAGGAAGTCACGCCGCTCTTTCAACAGAAAGGTTCCAGTCATCACGCCAGAGAGTTGCCCACTGCCAATTCCCTGACTCAGCCATTCGGTCAGTATCCAATACCACTGTTTCATCAACACAGTCTGTCAGAGGTCCATACACAACATGTCTCACTCCTCAGCGTGTGTCTATTATGCCTGACTTTACGCACACAGGGGGCCAAGTCACAGTTTTTGTTTGTATGTACTTGCATTGCAATATATGTCAATACCCCATCAGATATATAGAATGTACTCACATCTAAATATCAGACTGTAGTTGTTACATATAGGCAACGGTAGTCTGACACATCTTTAAAGGTATTCATTACTTGGCATAATACTGTACACTAAACCTAGTGCCAGAAAGGACGGCAATGGAGTGTTTTAAAAAAAACATCCTGCAACAGGTCACTCCTCGGGAGTTTTGGACACGGATTCCCATCAGAGTGCAGCGGTTTGAGACAGAAATTCGGAGCTGTTGAGCTGGAAGACCGTCAGCATCCCTCAGAAAAGATTGTCGATAGTTCTGCCACTCTGCCCTTACGCTTCACGTTCGGTATTTCTCGTGAACAAACAGCCTTGTTAGCATGAATCCAGAGAGGAGAGTGGAAACTAGGTGGTCTCACCTCATTAATGGCACTATTTATTCCTCCTTTGATATATCTGTATACATATGAATATATACATGTATACTGTATATACATATTTAAGTGTTGACATATATGAATGTATGAGCAATGTGTCTATAACGTGTAGGTATCGTCAGTACGTCTCAAGTCCTTATATATCATGTTATATTTGTATATGACATCGTGGAATAGCTCCTCCATTCTTTCTGTTCCACGGTCGATTCATACATTCATATTCAAATATAATGTACATGTAAAATGTTGTGATGTTTCTTATCACAATTGTGCAAACCTTGCTTTATGACAGCAGGGTTCTTCCCAGCTGGGATACTGAGGCATGCGATCATCGTGTTTACTAGTGGTTTTTTGTACAGTTTTTGAGTTTTCATGGTAACTTAATTCATAACAGACAGCAAGATGCAGGTGGCAGCATAAGATGGATACGGTGGATTGTCCTGCGTATGGCCGCACACGTCGCCATGTCCGAGGACACGCTCGTCCCGTCGCCCGTTCATTTGGTGCTGCAAAACTTTTACTTTCTTCCTCGACGGACGTTTTTCTGTGAGGATCAATATCTGGGTTTCTTTGCATGAGAATTGATTCTCCAGCTACACTTTTACATTTCAATGCCATGTTTTGAGCTGCAAAACATCACAAATATTCACCTTTAGCTGCAGGCTGAGGTCTCTCCACTAGGGGGAGCTGTTCAGTTTAAGACCGGTCTGTGGTGTTCAGCCAGTCTTCATTTTGCTTTTAGAATTCACAAAAATAAAGACTTAAACTGAGCCTGCCCACCAGTTTTGGTCGGGACACTTGGCTCGGGGAAATCAAGATGTTTATTATCACTATTTTCAGAGGTTTCGTAGACCTAACAGGTAATCAATTAGTCAAGAAAATAGACGACAGATCAGTCGATAATTCCAATAATTGCTTCTCTTGTCTAGACTATAATTCCAGTTTTGAATATCTCGGAAGAAACGAATGTGTATACGACCATGGTGAAGATTCAGAGGGCCAGTGAGAAAAAGTACTGCTGACTGAAATATAAACAAATACATCTCATAAAATCCAATCTTAAAACATGCATTGAAATGTCAAATGTTGCTGTGACCTCTGATTCATTATTGGCCCGGAGGAAAAGTCAGAGAAGTGACTATTATCAGCTGAGTGAGAACACGAGTGCAGTTGTGATGTCTCTCATGGGGGGGGGGGGGGGGTCACAGGTTTGCTCCTGTCATTCGGTCATCTCATGCACTTGAAAATGTTTCAGTCCCGCGGAGCAACACGCTTGATTTCACTCATCTTGCAAGCGCTTTGTGTCCGGCAAGATGAATCAGGTGCAGCCGCTGGAACTCGAGACCATTTTCAAGTCTAGTTTAGCGCATGTGTCTCACCGAATTGTCCCACCGCCTCGTCATGAACCCCAAACCACACAACAGTGACGTTATTACATAACAAAAGGCAGAGAGAACCGCGTACCTCTGTTAACTCAAACGAACACATTGAACACCGAGATTGTCTTGTGCCAAGTGACCTACTGTGTTGTACAAAAAGCCATTTCCATGTTTATGATTGGCTTTTTTTGGGGGGGGTTTCACTCATACAAATATTCACATCTGCTCTACAATACTGCCCTCCTTCTGAATTCACAAAACAGAGCAACAACAATAGCTCTACACAGTTCAGTATTTAGTTGAAATTTGAGAATTATTGGGGTGAAATTGGTCCAGGATGAGGGTATGTACTTTATAGCATCAACTGCCGACACCAACCTGCTTGTCGATCAAATCATTGACAGTTTTTCGGCTCCCAAGATGGAGTCTGATAACCACGAGCCAGACTAGCCATGGTAGATGTTTTCTGACACTATTTACACGACAAAATTGTACAATTCGTCCTTTTTTTGGGGGCGAACAAACAAAGAAAGCGTCTGTGATGGCTACACTTCTGGCTTCACGCTCTTTTTTTAAAATTGCGTACAACCTTTTACAGCCTTTAAACAACGATGACGTATGCGAGTGTGCACACGCAGTTTGGCAACGGAAGCACGGCGGAGTGCAATATTATGCAAGGGTGTTAACCACCGAAGACGGTGAACGCAACCTAAATGCATCGACTTTCCAGATCCGTGTGCTGTTAGTGATTGAGTAGAATACATCAGCAAGTGGCCCAGTGTTTACTGTCCAGATACATACATGTATTTGGTGGACAAACCTAGTTTGTAATGTCACACCAGAGAGACATTATGAACATCTAAGCCACTAGATGCTTTCATGTTATCTCTGGTCACGGTCTGTCACATACCATGACATCGACTGGGAGGTTAGACTTTATCTATTTTTAAAATGGCCGCTAAAAACAGTCCAGTGGTTTTATAGCTGGCAGCCGATGGTTTGATTTAAAGCTACTTCCGTTGCCAACATGCACACATTTTTATGATGACGTCAGCTGTAAAAAGGTCGATTGAGTAACAGATAAACACTGCCACCTGCTGTTCAACAGATCAACGTCTTTCTTTTAACTACTAATAATTTGACGAAGTTACAATCCAACCACACGTTTTCCGTTTCTTTCCTTAATGTAAAACCCTGTAATGTCAAGATGTTTTTGTTTTTTAACAAGGTACCAGCATCGTTTTGTGGGTTATACTCCAGGTACAGTACTTTGCGTATTATCGAGAATGTCAAATGTGAAATGCCATTGCTGTACATCGTTAGTATATATATATATATATATATATATATATATATATATATATACACTGAGTATGTAACACGCACTAAGGCAATTGTGAATTGCTGCATTTTACCGTCTTAACCGGCCTACTTATATATAGATAGGGCATTGTTTGATGTTGGGTCTAGTGAGTTGGAATTGCAGATGAAACTTTTCTCCTCGAAGTTTAATTTCTCTTTAGATTCGTCCTGTTACAAGGATAAGTTGATTTTAAGTTCTTTATTTTCTCTCTGCTAATAAAGAAGGCTATTTATTTTTTGTACAGTAGGAACTCATGAAAGTGACCTGCTTCTATTGCGTCATTATCCGTGTTGTTTTTGAATGAGTCACCTTTAATGGTACCTGGACCACACGGTAATTGTAGTTCATTCACGGTGCTTGTTGAGAACTGTTACCAGAGTGGAGAGGGGGATCTAATCATTCAGACGGAGCCAGGTCATTTTTTGTTTTTGTTTTAATCACGTAAAAAAAAAGTACATTAAATTGACTTTTGGTCAAATGTCCCTTCCCATGTGGCGAATCTCAGCCATCTGTGCTGAAGTAGACAAAAAACCTGAGACGTTTTTAAACCCTCTGTGACGGACGTCTTACATCGTGGAAACTCATCTGGCTGAACTTTTGTACCGCGATACAATAAAACTCCATCCATCTGGTGCTCCTGAGAGCGATCGGACAAACGCCGGAAATTACATGCAAATACCGTTTGGCCCAGGTGACGTGCAGAGCTGCCATCTCCTTTCCTTTTGCTCCCATTGTGAAAAAAAGAAAACCGGCTTGAAGCAGGATTCTTAGCACAAATGAGCCCACTGCCCGACTCCTCCTGGAGTCATTTACACAGTCGACGTCTTACCTTGTCTCATTTCTGTTGGTGTACAGGTGTCGCGGAGGACGTTGTTGTGATGTTGGATTGGCTGGTTGTTGTTTTTTTGGGTATATCCACTTATATATTTGTCACCGCCACCGACATCTCGATGAACACAGCACCCCACCCAAAGCCTTACAGTAAAGATCGAATTCTTTAGATTGTTTTTCGGTTGGTGTATCTCACTTCACGCGGTATGAAGGGACGGCTCCCTCACAGGACGAGACATTGTTGAAGTGCACTTGATTTTAAATTGCAATGTTAGTTTTCTTACCTTGGAGAAGTCCCTTCTTTCTTATGTTTAAGAAATAAATGGCTGAGGTGTTAACATCTGATCATGACTGGCTTCTTATTTGGACAAGCACGATGTATTTGTTTGTTCTGCAAGAACGGATGCGGATTGATATCCAGTATATGTACATATATTTAGTTTATAGAACTCACTGCTAAATGTTCATTATTTAACAAAGACATTCATGTTATTTAATCACTAGGGTTTCAAAAGCCACGGTTTTGGTTAATTTTGATGCAGTAAGTGACATAAAAACAAAATAGTTTGTTTATTGTTATATTTTGTAAATATCAACCTTTTATATTTAGTTTATTTGTATCATTGTAGTTTATAAACATACATATGTTATTTTTATGCAATTTTTAAATCAAACATGATACAAAATAATAAATATATGAAAATAAAATAGAATTCTGCTGCAAACTACTATTGTTATTCTATAAATAAGTAAAGTTTTCTCACTCAGGTAAATCTCCTGGTTTTCAGGAGCAAGAATCAGACAAGGAGTCTTAACGAAGGAACGAGGAGCAGGTGTGAACTGGGTTTGAGGCTGAGGCTGGATTCACCAGGATTTAAAACAGTCAAATTACACAGCAAAATTCATTTATTACAGTAGAATCAGAGGATCCAAACCTATTTAATCCTTCTGAAGACGTGACCCTTTGAAAATAAATTTGAGTTAGTCTGACTCACAGGATGTAGACTGTGGGCATAAATCTGCCATGAGTCCTAAAATACTTCCCTCCTCTTAAAGTCATTGTGTTTTTGGTTAGATGTCTGAAATAAAGTCTGTTTATCACGAGAATTTAATGTTTTGTTCTATGATATAAAATAGGTCAGTAAACACCCCTCTGGGGAATTTAGAAGTTTTTACGTGTCTTAAAAAAGTGTGATAATAACACGACTAAAGAAATGTAAACAATCCAGAGTGTTTTTTCCAACAGAATGATAATGTGTGCAGACTTTTCTTTGTGTAGATCAGTTTGGCTATGCACGACTTTATTAAGGGTTAGTGCTTTTGTTTGGAACTATTTTCACTGGTGGATAAATATCGCTTCACTTGTCCTTTAAATTCAGTGCATGAAAATATACGAACTCAACAACCTCATTCTGCCAATTACCTATAATCTACAGCCATCCTATCAATATGTAATGTAACGGAGTAAAATAATAAAAGGATAACAATTCGAGAAACATAGTTTGTTTGTTGCAGCTGCACAGCTTCACCAGCAGGTGGAGGCAAACCTCCGTTCAAACTAATATAAAACACAGCAGTGAGCACAAAAACCCCAAAAGTAGAGCATCAGAGAGAGAAAGCATGAGAGTCGAGGAGGGGAAAGGAGCAATCCTTCCAAATCTCCCAAAGCGTTGATGCTATTTTATGTTTCACACGACCGGAGCGACACACCTGGGATGGACTCGTGGTCACACGGCGGGGTTACTGAGGAGGCTCAGACCAAACCACTCCGTCTGCACCGGTCTTTGCCTCACCACGGTTCCTTGCGCAGGCAATTATTGCAGACCAGCTGTGTGGTCCCTCAGGGGCCCCAGTAAACCAGGGACCTCCTCCGGCTGAATTCAAACAATCAATACAAGTTGAGAATTCTAAGCAAGAAAGCAGTCATTTTATTCCTGTTTAAGGTTAGAAAAGGCAGATAGTTAAATTGTTTTGTAAGTGAAATTAAGATAAAAAGAGGTTAGCCTCTACATCCATAACTCTACATCTGACGCAGGAATAGACCAGGTTCAGCATCCACGTGGGAGAAGCGAGGGCCAGGAAGTAGCTGGAGTAAAATGGAGGGATTATGTGTTGCAGCAGGTTATAGGTCCCTCTCTGACGCTAACTTGAAGGAATCCAGGATGCTTGTTTCCGAAATCTCATCAATAACAGCGCCGGGCTCAGTGTGATGAAGTGCCATGTATTCCAGCTATGTGCAGCGGCCTCTCTTTCTTTGTTTTGTTTGCAGCATGGAGATGTTTATTACTAAAAGCCAGAATCAAACTTCCTGCGCTCAGTCACATTTGCTGGCGACGCTTTAATTACTCTGACGAAGGTTTAGATTCAAGATGGATTTTGGTATTTTAGATTTTGAATAAAAGTGAATTTGCAGCTGAATCGTTGTCTCGTTCATTCTCGATGTCGGAGTCACGGAAGCTTACGTTTGATTCTTGTTTACAGGGGAAATGGTTCATTGGTGAGAAGCAGGACGTTCAATCAGTTGCACATATTTGTTTTGCCCGTAATCTCACTAAATAAAGTTATCAGTCGCCTTTGAACATTTCCTTTACTGCCAGTTGACTCATTCATCCCGTTTCCCCCGCCGGCTTCATAAAGTCCAATGAGTTGATTTTCAAACTTCCAAAGTCACTCCTCTTATCCTCCATATGTTTGGGTTCATCAGACTTAAAGATGATTGAAAAGGCAGCGAAGAGGGAGAATCGCACATCTGTGGCGCAGCGCTAATTATTAGGAAATATTGGAGAGAATGGGCGATCCTCAGATCCTCTTCCAAGCGCCTGTGTCTCCGTCCCTCAACTCTTTCACTGCACTTGCTGTGCTGCAGTGTGATCCTGCAGGTCCAGTGTTTCTGCACCAAAGCCACACACACTGATGGATAGATAGAGGATAACGCTGCCATGTCAGGCCTCTCAAAGGACACCTAACAAGTCATTCTGTGACAGGAATCAGTATATTTCTCCTCTACGTACGTGGTTTTAATGAGGAGAAACACTTACTGTAATGGGAGCCACTCGGTTGCTGTGAGAAGAACAACATCCTAAATTCATGCGTGAACCAAGACGTCCTCGTGGAGAACAAGTTGTGATTTCTCAGAGTGACATTCAGTAGTTTTCAGCTTCAAAAC